GGTAGGGGGTTCGGGGGGAGGGGCGGAGCCCCTCCCCCCGACTCTGATAAAGCTACTGCAGTTTACTTAATGATAATAATTTATCTTATATCTAATAATTGTTCCGTATTATACATCAAGTAATACTCGTCGATTCGTTAACGATACACAGGTATTTACTTCCTTAAATTTTGATGGGGGTGAAAGGGTTAATTTCGCTTTTTAAACACGTAATACTTACCACTATATCGCTAGTCGAAGCTCAACGCTGACGGAAACGTAACGGTGCGGACGTATATCAATTTCGCGTTTCCATATGTGGATAACGATGTTATATATATCGTCTCGTTTGGCTCTGACGATGATAAGAGGATATTAATAAAGATTGTTCGCAAACTTTTCAGACGTTCCGGAGGAAGCTAAGCCCAGTGTGGCGCAGAAGCGTTAGTTTCCAAGGAACAGACCAAGCTCGACAAAATTTTAAATATAGAAAAAGAATCAGGCTCGAAAGAGGTAAGGTTTAGGGCCCGAGCACAGACTTTTGCATAAGCGCGCATAATCAAGGATAGGAAATCGATCGGTCGTTTTTTTACGCATATGTATTTACGGACCGATCAATTTCCTTACGCTTACGATTATGCGCGCTTATGCAAAAGTCTGCGCTCGGGCCCTGACATTAAAGTAAAGAAATGCATGTACGACGTAAAAAACCCTGTTTTGAAAAAATGGATAAAATTCTTTAATCGATCGCGCTTCATTGTTTCGTTCTGGAGAATCCTGGCAGGAGTCTGCGTGGACTAACGTTTTTTATTACCGGAGCGACGGAGTACATGTCCAGAGCAGAAGTCTGTAAATTAATAACAGACACCGTGGTGAAAACGGTGCACCGTTTGCAAGCTTTCTCGGAGGGTGCTTGGAGGATGTTATATCGTTGTTGGCGGCAAGGCAGCAGGACAAACGAAATTGAAGAAAGTACAGGTCTATCATCTCGTTATAGACATTTATACATTTGCCATATACTTATCGTGTTTCTCGTTGAAAATAATGGGAGAAGCGGCGGAGGGGGGTCCGGCTGGAAGAGGTAAGCTTATTTATATTATTATTTTTATTATTGTTGTAATCGTTAACAATTTGTCGAATTTCCTGATTAATCTTACTTTTTTTTTAAATCAACAGATATTTCTCTCCGACTCTGATGAAGAGAGAGAGAGAGAGAGAGAGAGAGAGAGAGAGAGAGAGAGAGAGAGAG